CCTCTAGCTTGCGGCCACCTAGCTCGTGAACAATGGCAGGTGTCGAGGATTCCAACTTTGTTTCTTGGAGGCATAGAATGCTTGCTCGATGAGCCTCCGCAATCTCACACACGGCTGCACGCTTCGCTGGCCAATTCATCCCTCTCACATTCCAGCTCAACATTGCACCAGTTGTGTTACTCATATGGAACAAGAGGTTTCTCCGGCAGTAACAACATTCTATTGATCTGAGACGAACACAAGTACACCATCCGCCTAGCAAGGGGGCGCCAGAGGCCACCAACAGGCCCAAAACTACTCTGGCGCGAGACGATCCAACTAGCCATAACACAACCATTACAGTCATCGATCATGAAACCTAACTCAAATCGGCCTAATGCCAATCCCTGCCGAAGACTAATACTAAGTAGAACTAACATAACAACACTACGCCGCGGCGTCCGCGTCGGCATCAGGGCCCGCCATGTCACCTGCAATGCGGAGGGCCTCTAGGTCGAGGCGCGTGAGCTTGGCGATGTTGGAGATGTCCTCGTCCGTCAGCGGCTCATCCAATCGGCGTATGAGGGCTTCCGCCGCCTTTGCAGTCATATTCTCCTTGGGTCCCAGCATGCCGAGGCGCTTGACCAGCAGTAGAGACACCCTCTTTGCCACTGGAACACTGGACTGCTGCGCAGCTTGGCGCGCGCTGTGCCTGACTGGGACAGAGGCAGCTCTGGACCTGGGTGGTGCAGCGAAGCAACGCGTCGGTGGAGCAGGGATGACTGGAGGGGGGACGATGACGAAGATGCGCGGCGCCGGATCGTCAGCACCGTTGAGCTGCAGTTGCATGACCTGCTGCATCATGGCGCCCACATGCAGGCTGGTCTGGGCTGCAGTGGCCGTGGAGCGGCAGGCCGTGGCGGACGAGCCGCCGGGGAACTGGAGCGGGCGATCAAGCACAGTGGCGATGGACTCGTCGAGCTCCTGCTGCACATCATCGACACGGGGCGGCGGGGGGAGGACGGGGTCGGCGCTGCTGAAGAAGTCGGCCACTGGGTCCCGCCCAACGTCGGCAACTGCAGCAGCAGCAGGCGACGCGCGCGGAGCCAGAGGCAGCGGCGGCGTGGCCTTGAGGACGACAGACTCTGGGCGGCCGCCGGAGACCCGCCCAGTGGCCTCGTGTCGGCGGCTGACAGGCGTCCGGCTCCGCTGGCGGCTTGAGCTAGCAACGTCCCTCCGGGGCTGCAGCGTGCCTCCGGGCTGCTTGCAGCCCAGGAGGTTGTCCTTCCATGAACGACGTTCGTCCTTGCTGTTGTCGTAGTCGTCGCGGTCACAGAGCCCGCCCTGACGGATGTTGTCGCAGCCCGATGGAGCCACCAGGGCCGGGTGGCGTCGGGTGCCTTGGCCGTCCTCGACGTGCATGGACCACGTGCCCGGCCAGATCGACGGGACCGAGCGGGCATCATCAGACTCTGACGAGGGCAGGCCGCTCTGCACAGAGTGTGACGAGCGCGGCGAGAGAGGCGACCAGTCCTTGACATGATCGACATGGACGAGCATGTCGTGGCGCCGGACGCATGGCGGTGGCGCCACTTCCCGAGCCGCCCTCCAGATGGTGTGCTAGATGGGGATGAACGCCACATCCCACACCCACACCTAGCACGCAAAGGTCCTCATGTGCCCGCGCTCATGGGTCCGGCTGTCGATGCGGTCGATGATGCACTTGTCGCCGAGGACCTCCGCCACACCCTCAAGCGACCAGAGGTGCATCGGCATCCTCTCGATGAAGACGCGGACATGGAGAAGGAACTCCTAGTGCACGGCGTGGTCGTCCTCGTGCCACGGCTTGATGTTGAAGACGGCGCCGTCGATGTTGATGGAGCCCAGGTGCACCGCGTTGTCTCTGTGCGCGGCAGCTCGAAGTGGACCAGAAAGTCCTCTGGGTCGTGGCTCGTGACCCACAGCAGGTGCGCCGGCGTGTGCAGCTGCGTGTCGAAGGCGCGCCCCAACGACATGGGGATGCCAGCATGGCGCTCCACTGTGGAGATCAGCAGCACCACGTGGCGATGGAGCAGGAAGATCTGGTGCTCCATAGTCGGCGCCTCGATCACCACCTTGTGGCTGGACCTTGGGCGGCGCGACGGGTCGGTGTGGTGGGCCATCATCTTGTCCGGCGCCGTTGGAGGCGGCGAGGGGAAGCGAATGCGCTTGCAAACCGGGCCGCGACCTACGCGGGAGCCCAGCCGCGCCTTCACAGGAGCACGCCCCTTCTTGCCCGGGCAGTTTTTGCCGATGTGGCCTGGAAGCTTGCAGTCGATGCGGTGAACTGGATCCCTACAATCTACATGGCGGTGTTCGGTGCTGAGGCATCTAAAGTAGAGGCCCCGAAAACACCTTAAGAAGGCCTCCCACTCGGCGCCCGCATTCAAGGTGGGCCGGTGGCCTTTGCGTGCCCGCGGGGCATGGCCAGGGCGCCATCATGGCGCCGGCTGAGCCGACGATCTTTGCGCGACTGGACCTCCGTCCATCCATCGCTAGGCCCAGAAGAGGAAAGGCCAGCGCAGGGGAGGGCCGAACCACGATGGAGTTAAGCCGCTGCCGCTCAGCAGGGGGAGACTGCGCAGCGACCGGGGTGGAGAAGGCGTCCGCGGCGTGGGAGCACTCGCCCCGGAGCAGGATTCGCAGCGGGGAGGCGGAGGGAGCCGTTGGCGCGGCAGGAAGACGCAGAGAGGCCGGCACCTCCGACGGACCGCTGGATCTAACCAGGCCCGGCACCGAGGCCGGCAGGCCCCATCCCTCACTGCCCTGTGGGCTTGAACAGGCGGATCCAGAGAATCTAAGTGAGCGCGAGCGCCCCATGGCTTTGGGCGCCAGAGCGCACCCGACGCGCGCCGGGATTTGGTGGCCGCCGCGCTGGCCGCGGGGGGCGGGGTGGGGGCTAGGAGCCAATACCAGGGACCATGCTCATCTAGGAGCAAAAATTAGGTGTATCTGGTTTCTATCCATATTGTACCTTTTCAAGAGGTCTAGTCTACAGTTAATGCATCTTGCTTTTTCCTTACTCAAATTTATTATCTTGCATATGTAAACATAAAATACTTACATATGTATTAGCATGGATTAATCTAGAGTTACTACATGAAAGTTACTTTCATAATTATATATGTATGTTAAATGACAACCAAGCACTACATGGTTACTCTAGATGCAACATGCAATTGTTATTGTCATACGTTCTTATTCTCCTAATACCATCTTCTAGCATAGTGAGTGTTGATTGGAAGGTTTAGTCTCAACCTGAATTTTCTGTGATTTTATTAGTTGCAATGTCTTAATTTGACCATAAAATTAATCTTCCAGTGAAATTCACGTAGAATTTAAAACAAGGCCAATTCGTGCCTTGAAGAATGAAAGCCGGTACAAATAATGGAGAGTCTTTTTGCACTAGGAGACACTACTACCGAACGGCTTATGGGTGTAATCATAATAGTGGTGCACATGTATTTGCACCTGCCACTAGTAATCTGGCCAAATACCAATGGCGGACGCCCTGCCAGCCACTGTTCGCTTCGGCGTGGACGCACGCGACGCCCACCTTGTCCTCCTCCTGGCCCACCCTTCGGTGGCACAACGCCCATTATCCCCTTCCCTCCACACCCAACACCTCCGGCCACTTCCGTTCGCTTGGACGCCGCTGAGGCCGCCGCCCCGCATCCACACACTTCCACCACCTCCACGCCACATCGGATGCCCACTCTTGCCGGCGTTGGCGGCCTCTTTTTGACACCGTTGTAGCACCTCTACGGCCATGCCACCCCCTCGCCTCCACCGCCACCTGCCTAGCTCCAAGCCTGCCAGCCTTGCTCCACGGTCGCCTCCACTTCAACAGGCTTGCTACCTATACGTGAAAAAGACATGAGGCTCTTCACCGGCCGACTTCTCCACCACACCCCTAAGGTGTTCGGCGCTTTGCCCATAAGGTACCATGGATAGTGAGGATGAGTTCTTTTTCAATAACTTCATGTGTTCATCCGAAGATTCATCATTGGTCGATGAGGATTTTGTGGTTGCGACTATCGTCGTCAGTGACCACATTGCTAGGCAGCGGCCGAGGTTTAGGGGCTTGATCTCGAGCCATGCTCCGGTGTTGAATCGCAACAGAGAGAGCGGCCATTACATACTCTTCGCCGATTACTTTCAGTGCACGTCCACACTCTTCAACCTCAAACTTTTCCGACGCCGCTTCCGGATGGTGAGACATGTGTTTAACCATAATTATTTTAATGTATTTGTAACAATTAAAATTTCATTTGGTTTGCAAATTATGATATTTTTATTTGGTTGTAAACTATTGATCATTGTGATGAAACTATGTGATTTAAACTTTCGGCAATGTTTAGATTTGTATGCAAAAATTGTGTAAAAATATGGCTGCATACCGGCCACGGGAACGAAATGCGTCAGCCGGTTGGATGCACTGGCTAGTAAAATGTGGACGGGGCTAAACGGTGCCCCTACTGTCAATTCAAACAGACAAAAAGAGAATCAAATCTGCGTTCGTTTGTGTCGGCGCGTTCGAGTTGCCCATACTTTAGTGTCTTTTTTGCTCGCTCTCAAGGTACTAAACCTTCTAAAATTAATAAACCTGCCTAAATAACAAATATAATTAATCATTTCATCAAATATTTTTGAAATCAATCTTTTTTCCTCTTTTAAAAGAAATTATTATGTCTCTTCCTAAATTGTTACACATTTCTATAATAAAATTCTCCAATAAAATCCTCCATTGCTCCAATAAAATGGAACCATTAAGTCTACATCTACAACCGAACACAAACTATACAATATTAACAAGTACTGTATTTTTTTCAACTAAATTTGAAATGTGAAATGATTTTTTTAACATATTGTTGTATCCCTATTACATTATCTCCTTTTGAGCACTCTGGTTTAAGCAGATAGATAAGGTACGTTCATCTGATACCTTGCACAGCCTAGCGCGCTCCTGCCCCCAAGCAGCAATGCCGGCGGTGGCGTCCCTACCGCCACCGGCGCCGGGGCCGGCCGCATTGCGTCGCCGGAGGTTCTCCCCCGCGTCGGCGTCTCTGCGTCGCGCCGCATCCGGAGGGGGCTCGAGCTGGCGGAGCGAGCGGCGGCTCATGTCGGAGCTGGAGCGCACGGTGACGGCGGGCGCCGCGGAGCGCGTCATCCGCGGCTACGTCGGCACCAAGTCGGAGCGCGCCGCCCTCGCCGCGCTCTCCCGCCTCCTCATGGACTCCGACCCCCTCGCCGTCCCCGTGAGCCCCCGCGCACCCCTCCTTCTCTCCAACTCCCCTCTCCCTCTCGCTGACCTCGCCGGCGAAATTCTGAACGTTTGCCGCAGTTCTACGAAGCGGTGACCCAGGCCCGGTGGTTCAAGTGGAGCTCGATCCACGCCGCAGCCGTCGCCGCCTTGCTCGAGGCCAACGGCGCCGCGGAGGAATCCAGATCCCTCATCGCCGACTCCGCCGCGCGCCTCGAGTCCACCGCTGAGGTGGCCCTCTTCTACTGCGACCTCATGGCGGCCTTCTCCTCGCGGGGACTGAAGCGCCGGGCCATGGATTTCTACTCGCAGCTCCGGGCGATGCCGACGCCGCTCGCCGGGGGCGCCAAGACCTACATGGCCATGATTAAATCCCTATGCATGATGGGCCTCGCCGCCGAGGCCGAGGAGGCGCTCTGGGAGATGGTGTCTCTGGGGTACCAGCCTGATGCGTTTCAGTTCGGATTGGTGGCGAAATGCTATGGTAAGGCAGGCCAATTGGCTGAGATGGAGAGGGTGATTGCGTCCATGTCTGATGCCGGCATCCGCCTGGGCACCGGCGCGGTGAACATTGTCCTCTCATGCTACAGCGCTTGCCGTGACCATGGTAAGATGCTAATGTGGCTGAAGAAGATGCGAACATTGCGCGTCGCACCGACCACGAAAGCCTACAATTTTGTGCTCAACTCGTGCCCGACAGTGGTGTCGATGGCCCGTGAATTGGGCCCTTCGCTACCGTTGTCGGCGGCGAAGTTGGTGAGGAAGCTCAATTCTACATCTCCATGGCCGGCAGAAGCTGAGGTGGTGCAGGAGCTTCTGGCAGCCTCGTCAGTGTTGAACAAGGCGATGGTTTGGTCAGAAACTGAGGTGAAGCTGAACCTACATGGGTTCAGTATAACTTCAGCCTATGTGCTGATGCTGCAGTGGGTGGACGCGGTGAAAGGGGACCGCACATTGCCATTGGAAGTGTCTGTGGTGTGCGGCGTCGGGAAGCACAGCAATGTCCGGGGCGAGCCCAAAGTGCGGGAGCTGGCACAAGAGGTTCTGAGCCGGATGGGGAGCCCTCTGCGGCTGTCCGTGAGGAACAAAGGCCGGCTCGTGGCGAAGCGAGACAGGGTGAAACAATGGCTGGCCACTGAGTGGACTTCCATGGTGCCTGAGGAGAGCACGGATCAGTCACCCAATTCAAGTGATCAGCAACAATTTTTGCCCAATCTTTTAAGAAAACTCGGGCAGTTTTTTTCCTCATTTGTGCCAGTTTCCAGATGAATGGCAAGCTGTTTATTGTAGAGTAGGAGGTTCCGAATAGGCATAATATCTTCCTTATGTTGTAGACTGATACAAGATGGGTGTTGTGTGAATGCTGGAAAAAATAGTCATCTCTTTTCTAATGGTGAACTAGGGTCTTAAAGCACGAAAGTAACTAGGCCTCTGACTGCATATTAGACTTGTCCCTCGAGTCCTCGGCAGCTCCCTTAAGGTAATTTTACTGCCCTGCTGACATTTTTTAAACTTGTAGCTGATGTTTAATCCCTGCTTTGATGTGCCTTACTTTATGGTGAAATTGCAGAAACCTATTGAAAATGTGAAGTTTAATTATTCCTAGTAACCTCAGCTGTGTTTTTTAAGTCCTGCACAAGAACATCTATTGGATCTCAGGTATGTGCATCCTAGTACTGACATAGCTGCATCTTACCCAGATTAATCGAAGCTGATACTATTGTTTCTTGAACCGTAACAGATCTTTGTTAGTGTGTAACTGCTTATTATCTTCTTGGAGTAAAGCCTGTGCCTCTATTCCTCTGAATTTGTTTTGTTTGTTTAGCCAATAGATACCGTTTTATATATTACGTGCTAGGTTTACTGTTGGAGATAATGTTACATGTACTATCAAGTGCTTTTGTTTACTTTTGGATATTTGTTGAGGTAGGTCTAATTCATGTGTCAGATGATTTTTCTTGAAGTTCAGCAGCGAACTGTTTCTTTTAAGGTTGAAGGTGTCCCTGGCTCCCTGCACTGAGATTCAGTGTGGGAAGTGTCCTGGGATGATACGATCAATATCTTACAAAATCGGCCAGGTAACACTTAGCAGCTGTATTTTTTTTCAGTTATTTATATCATTTTTGTGTTTTAAGAATTTTCTGTTGAAACTTGAAACTGTCAGTCTCTGCATACTTAAGGTACTCCCTCCGTCCCAAAATGTAAGACCATTTTTTACACTGTCAAAAATGATCTTATATTTTGGGACGGAGGGAGTATCTTTTTGTTGGAAATAAGTGCACCTTTTCTCGACGAAATCTAGTAGTGCTAAAAGGGGCATAATGCTATGCAGTTTGCGGGAATTGAAGTTACTTTTATTTTCAGGCTGTAAATGAATAACTTATTCAACAGGATTACAATGATAACCAGATGTCTTTTTTGCTTGAAGATGTAAAGATAATGGACAGTTCCCCTCTTGAGATGAAAAAACATAGATGAAGTTATGGATGTTTATGAAGGAAGATTCTTGTGGAGCCCTTAGTTAGGTCCAACCTTTCAGGTAAGATGAAAATTTTCAGTATTCCCAATTGTGCAATTTGTTCCTGGAACTCATTTGCTGTCAAACCTTTTACTCACCAGCTATATATGGCATCTCTGGTCGGTCCAAACAATATGAACTTTAAGTTGATTCAGCTCAGCAAGTAGACAGAAAATTCCTGGGGGTAATAGATTCTTACATCTGTCGGTTACGATCTCTAAGCATTCTTCAGTATTAAATACATATGGAATTCTCATGATTCAAATAGTTTTTTAGGTAATGAAATGGGGCTTTACTTGGAACAAACCCCATGAAGCCAATGATCACTCAAATTAGATATGTTTGAATTAGATCTAGCATGGTTCAGTACAGAAAGGAAAATAGAGGTTTAGCTACAGGAAGTAGAAAACAGCCACCATGAGAGCAATGCAAAGAGATATCTTTTGTCCCAGAGGCAGATAAATCGACTACAACGAGCTTACAAAGCTGACTGTGAGTTTACACTGGATATGAAAAATAATAAAAGCTAAGGACCAAAGCTGCCATTGGAAAAATAGGTCTCAAAATGTTTTTAGTCACTAATGTAGCAGATTGCACATAAATCTTCGAAAGTTAACTGTGTTCAACTCACATAAGCAGAACTACCGTGGATATCTTGCAGACAACGCGTACTCTTCTTCCATGCTATACTGCCTGCTAGTCAATCCCGCTCCGCATGCTAATGGAGAATTTGCTACAATATCACCATTTGCCTCAAATTCCTCAGGTGATTGAGCAGCTTCCAGTCTCAACTCCACTTGTCTCATGGTTGGCCGTTCCTCCCCTCTTAACTTAACACATGCTACTGCAATTGCAGCGATTTCATCAATTCTGTTGCCACCTTCACTCATAACTTGTGGATCTAATATCTCCGACAAATTCCCTTCTGCAAATAAGGTAGCAAAATGTGCCACAAGACCATTGCCTTCGGAAGCCATATAGGTAAATGGTTTCTTTCTGGTCATTAACTCTATAAGCATAACACCAAAGCTATAAACATCACTTTTCTCCGTGAGGCGCATGTGTGCATGTACATCGGATCGAGATATCCTAGTGTACCTTGCACCATTGTTGTGAGCCCTGATTTGTCCAAAGGAATGTACCTTGAAGCGCCAAAGTCTGCTACCTTTGCTGTTAGAGTATCATCCAAAAGTATGTTAGCAGGCTTGATATCTCTATGGATGATTGGCACTAAAGCCGTTGAGTGAAGATGGGCAAGAGATTTGGCAGTTTCAGTTGCTATCCGTAGCCTATCATCCCATGACAATGATCTTGGTCCTTCAACATGAAGATGATCATAAAGAGTTCCATTGGATATGAACTCATAGACCAGCAATGGGACTTCTGTTTCAAGGCAGCAGCCATATAGTTTTACTACATTCCTATGGTTGATTTGTGATAGGATAGCAACCTCATTAATAAACTCATCAATCTCCCTTTGAACAACCATCTTTGGTTTCTTGATGGCTACGACGTGGAGGTCCGACAAAATCCCTTTATAGACCGTACCATGTCCACCACCACCAAGTTCACGAGCTTTATCAAAATTATTTGTTGCCTTCTTCAACTCTTCCAAGGTTATGACCATTCTCTCTGCAATATCAGCTCTTTGAGATACCAACTGTTGCAACAACTGCCCACGGTTTTGCTCGAAATACTTCCGTTTCAACATTTGTGCCCTTTGAAGCTTAAATTTGTAGGAAATATAGTATGCAATGAGGACCAAAAGTATGAGGCCCGCCCCACTAGCAAGTCCAATAATGACGTTTAAACCTGAAAAAAGTAATGCATTATCATTCATTTTCTCTGGTATGCGCATAAATATAATCTGTAATTTTGTCGCAAAAAGTGCTCTCATATTGTATGATTTTACTAGGTATTATAAATATACCAAAACATAAACTAGTGGTCAAGGTTTGCTGTGTTTTGAATGTCGTGTTGATGTGCAAAATGAAACATTTAGCAACTGGCCGGAAGGAGTAACAGAGATAGAGCCAAAAAATACACGGATCATAATAGTGGTAATGACAATTGTTTGTGGTTTTTCGTCGACCAAATTAATTAGTTTATGTTTTGTTCCTTTTCCTGAAATTGTTAACACATTCTCATTTCGCTCATTGACCATTGACTACTTCTATCCCCCCTAGGATTAAAACCTTAGGGAGCCTTAACAAGTTTTGTGGTAAGCTGTGATAGACACAGTTTTTCTAATATGTTAGTAGAAATATGTATAGCTATGATTGACACATTTCATATATATATTGAGACAACCTCCAACATGTTTCTTTGATCGCTACTTTTTTTGTAGGTAAAATATGTTTGTGGAAATTTATGAATTGTATATTCATGATAAAGAGTCTAATAATACTATTTTGACCTTGCAAAACCAAATATTTTTTTAGTATGTTAGCTATCAAAGTCTTACCTTTTTAGTTGAAAACCTGCATTTTTTGTTGTTGCACGCTTTCTAGGAAGTCATATTATGTTTACCAATGGGGGTACTCAGAGTCGATCCACATTTTACTAAGAAACTTCTATATGGAATAGCGAAAATATTGGCAACATATGAATATATTAGCAGGAGCAATCGATCGATACATGCCCCATTGATGTAGGTAGGAAAATTAAAGTTGCAGCATTTGTTGCTCACCTCTGACGTATTTGGAGCGGACATCTGGAGACAAGAAAAGGTTGAATTCAGTAAGTTACATGTACGTGGTAGTGGTATTACGTAATATATATGTATATATGTGTGCAGCAATCAATGGAATTGATCGAACCTTTGCATCCGCCGTCGACGTATGGGTTGCCGTCGTAGCCCTCGTTGCACTGGCACGTATAGCCTCTGTTCCCACTTTTGCACTGGCTGTGCTTGCTCTTGCAGATCTGGTCGCGTGGTGTAACCTGATGATCCCCGCCATCGAAGTCCGGATGTGAGCTCACGTTGGCTGATGATGAGCCATTATGCGGGAGCAACACCTCCCACCAGAGAAGAATGCGAGGCTTCATGGCATCCGATGTCCGATTGTCCAGACCACAGACTGCCCGGACCATGACGCTCCCGCATCAGTTTGCCGGTGACACCCAGCGGATCGAACCATCCCTCCTCTGCGACGAACACATAGACGAGATTGTGTGCATCATAATTTCCCGTAGTGTCGATCCATGTTGATACGAATTTCTTTGGCATTCCGCCCATGGACTCGGAGATATGGGCCTTGCAGCATCCGATGCCATAGCAGTAGTTGCCGCCGCCGCCACTTCCACCGTGGATGCCGCTTGTTGGCCACCCCACTTCACCACCGGTGTCGTTGCGGGGGCAGATGGAGGCACAACCGCCGACAATTTCTTGGTCGCTATGCCCCACAAGCGTTGCATGTGTATTGCACCCCATGATGACAAGCTCGTTGTCAACAACGAGTAGGGCACCTCTCTGTCAGTGAAAGAAGGGAGTCCCATATAGAATTCAAAGGACGTAGAAGGTGGTAACAACCCCAGGGGAGCAAGGGATTCGCTGTGAATGACACGCATCGTGGTTGTGGAGAGGGAGATATTGACAACTCGGAATTGGCCGTCGCCCAGGAGCAACCACGCGGGCTCATGGCCGGTATCACACGCGAGGCGGAACCCAGGCCAGTAGCATTCGGACTTGCCAAAGCCGAACGGGTATGGTACATCCACGCCCCCGCAGAATGTCATGCAACTAGCTGTTTCAGACACAATTGTTGAACAAATCAGCGTCGCGACATTAGAAAACGGGATGTAATTTCAATGTGAACAAGCTACACATATCTGATTCCAAATTTCCACTTTGTTTCTTGGTGGCAGTGATTTTTTCTGCAGGACTGAAATATGTAGGTATCGTTTACTACCAATATAAGAAGACTCAAAGCGGTAGATCCAGTTAATCTTGACTATCAAACCATGTCTCCAACGAGATTAAGTGTATGTATTGCTCTAATGATGAGTGTTCAACATGTTTAGCATGTAATTAATATCATGACAAATATCAAAATCTGAGTTAATATAAATTTGCAATTAACCTGTATCTGGTATCCAACCTATATAAATATGCAATTAGCACATAATTAATATTCTATCTACTATAAACATGCAATTTGTTTTCTCCCTAATAATAACATGCATTGCACGTATGCATTTACTAGTTATAGTTGTGTGTGATCAATCTTTGGTTGTGATTAGATTAGATAGCAGAGAGGCTTCTGGTCTAAAAAAATCAAAATAAATACTACAGATTACAAAAAAATGTCAATGTTTATGCAACTAAATTTGGTTTCTACCCTCTAGGGAAAAGAAAAATAAATAAATTTGGTGCTCTACAACTAAATTTTAAAAGCTAAAGGCTTCTTTGCATCGCAGGAATTTGGAAATGTAGGAATAGGAAAACCATTGAACATATAAATGATGAAAGGGTGGTAGGCATTCTCAGGCCATCCACGCGTCCGCCCTTTGCAAATCTTGTTCATTTTCACGTCACTCCCTCCCTAGCTTATGTCGATGACGCCTGGGCCTGGTCGTGTGGCCCTTTGCGTCCCGCGCGCGAAGCGTGCGAGCGCACAAATATCTCCCTCGCCTGCCCATCTCTCTCTCCCCCTCGTCTCTTCTCATCCCCTTCCTCCCCTCCGTTCGCCCCTCTCGGCCGCAAGCGCCGGCACCGGCGTGGGATGGAAGCGGCCGCCACCGAGAGAAGCTCCGGCCTCCCCTCCTCACCCTCCCCTGTCTCCTCTCATCCACCCCTCCTCACCCTCCCCTGTCTCCTCTCATCCACCGGGACAAGCCGAGAAGCGGAGGAGAGGGCCGGAGGCTGAGGAGGGACGAGCGGCGCACGTGAGAGGCAGCCCTACCTATCTATCTAAATGGACTCGGAGCTCGGCCACGCCGGTACCCTTCCTTGCGCTTCGGCCTCCTGTTGTGCGCGGATATTCCCTGTTGTTTCCGTTCACCTTCGACCATGGGTTGCAATGGCCAGAGAACCATGGTATGTGGATGACGAATCTCGCCTCTCCCAGTGACAAGAGATTTTTGATTGATCAACACCAACGAGGATGCAGCCTTGTACATATTTCTGTCAGATTTGATTTTACTGACATTACAGTTCATACATTGAATTATTTTATCCTATTTCCTTCAGGTTTATATTTAGGCTATTCTTTTTTCCCTTTTCAGATGTATGTCATTACGTGTAGCCATGGTTCTAAAACATCTCCATTCCTTTTCTTGCTACCAATTTTCTTTGATTCAGTTATTTGACTAAATGGTTAAATGGGTATGGATATTGATTAGTACATCCATACTCTTCTGTGCAAGTATGTGCTATCTTATTTTTATGCAACTAATCTGAAATCTACCTTATCCTACCAGGGCCCCTGTTTTCAGTGGCTATAACTACAACTGCAGTTTTAACTCATGCAATTGAAGATGGTGTTGATCGGCAACGTCCAGATTTCTTTTTGCCCTGCTTTCCTGACGGAGAGGTGCTCACCTTTGGTTGATCCTTTAATGATCGTTTGATTGGATCCCTTTGCATGATTTCATCTTACCTCTATGACTTCATTGAAGATGGTGTTGGTCGGCAACGTCCAGATTTCTTTGTGCTTTCTGGTACCTCTGAAAATAAGATTATTACTATGAATTCATCAGTTAAGCTTCTTCTCTATTCGAATTGAATCTGAGAAGACCCTGGAGCAACGACCTCTATGTCTCCATTCAATTATTAGGCTTGGGCAGGCCAAACCTGCAAAGTTCGGTGAAGATTTCAAAGTACAGGTAGATTACTTTGTGTTGCCTATAGTCCTATAACTAATATTGTTTCATTATAAATGTCCTTTATGTCTTGCTTCAGTTATAAGGCTCGGGCAGGCCAAATCTGCAAAACTCGACGAAGATTTCAAACTACAGGTACATTATTTTGTGTTTCCTACAATCCTGTAACTTATTTTTTTGTATTCTAAATGTTTGTATGGCTAGATTTCTCTAGGATGACCCAAACAATAGACTGCAGGTAGGCTGTGTATGAGACTATAGACATGCACATGATGTGGATCTGCTTACAATAATTTTGCAATACTGAGATTTGTTTAGATGCTCACTTTTCTTACTGATATTGCTTAGTAATTGTTTTTGTGCCATATACGCATTAAATTGCATCATGCCAATCAACACACCCTGGGAGTCCTCTCCTCCAACGCCTCTGCCTCACCCAACTATCTAGAGGTAATTAGTTTGATCTGCTTTGGGTGAAGATGCCCTCTAACATGTGGCTTCTTAGTTGGGCACGTTTATGTTCATGCATGATGCTCTTGTGGTGTTTATTGATTATCAATAGATCTGAGAAATTCTTTTTTTGCTTAAAAGTTTAGTTATGCGTCTTTTCCTGCAGTTAAGTTCCTGCAAAAAAGGGTGAGTTCAACTTATAGTTGTAGCAGTCCATGTTTGCTGACAGTAGGAGCGCCCATGTATTATAAGCTAATATATGATTCAGGTTGTGATCATTGATTCATATGGTTAGTTGGTTTCTCAGAAAAAGATACACACGCTTTCTTGACGGTCAAGGAGTTTCAGATAGATCTGAGAAACTCTTTTTTTGCTTAAAAGTTTAATTATGCGTTTTTTTCTGCATTTAAGTTCCTGGAAAGAAATGGTGAGTTCATC